AAAAATAAAATTGCAGGCATTTAAAATGTGATTGGGTCACAGTTCAATCGTTATCATAAGGTGGTATATAGGGTCAATGTAAATTAGTGCATAAGATTGTATATGACAGATTTTACAAAACTGGCCGTGCGTAGTCATGCTGCACAAGCCGATTTCTGTCGAAAACTAGACGAGAAAGTCATCTTTTAAGCACACAAACTGTGTCAGCCGTCACCATCTCGCTTGGAAGCGAGTTCCACGGTCTGACAACCCGCTGACTGAATGAAAATTTTCGTCGGACTAAACCCTTGCGCTCATTCCGGACTTCTTATGCATGGCCGCGTAGTTGGTTTTTACGGGCGAACTTGAAGAAGTCCTCTGCTCTTAATGAGCAACCCTGGCCGCGAACGATCCGGAACGCCCAGAGTAGACTGCAGTTTATTTGTCTATACGAGAGAGGGAATAGGCCAAGCAAATTCAGCCTCACCTGATAAGACAGATGCTTTGGACCGTCGACCATCTTTGTCGCTCTGCGTTGCACCTGTTGGAGTAAGTTGTTATCCTTCCTCATCCATAGTGAAGCTGCTGGCATTCCATAATCTAGATGAGGTCTTTCAAAGACACCAAAGAGTCTTTCGAAGAGTTCGGGAGGAAATATTTTAAATGCACGTCTGATCCAGTGTAGTGTACTAGTTGCCTTCTGAACCATCTTTCTGCAGTGTTCTGATGGCGATAGATTTGTCGTCATCCATACACCCAGCTCTCTGTGTCTTTTCACATTTTCTAACCTCGTCGCGTCAATATAGTACTGGTGTTTGGGAGAGGCATTGCGGCCGGTGTTCAGGTGCAAGACCACGCATTTGGACACGCTGAGCTTCAAAAGCCATCTGTTCGACCAAACACACAGTTTGCCCATGCATCGTCCTGGGCAGCCAGATCGACAGAGAACAAGTCCTCGTATCGTTTGTACCAGAAATCAAAGGTGATATGGGCCTGCTTGTCATATAAGAATTCAGTGATACTGCCGGCAATGTAATCAACAGACTGCGAACCACCTGCCGCGCTTGACTGACCCATGGACGAGTTGGACAGCTAAACGGTGAGTGCCTCCATTAGCTTAAGCTGCTGCTGCAACATCTGCTTCAAGTCTGCGTACCCGTCAGCAGTTGTAGTTGTAAAAGTACGTCGCCAGTTTGTTATGACCCGCCTGGTAAGTGAAATCCCGTAGAGCGTATACGCACTCGACCCTGGACCCGAATATCAAAGCAGCAGACAAAGAAAACACGGCTGGCCACGGAATGTGTATTACCAAAATACTGCAAGTCGCGACTGGCTAAGAGTGACGCATATTTATAACACGCTATTGTGGTTCGCCGGCATTCGGCCCAATGACCTTCGGGAAGAGGGGAAGGCGCCTGATTGAGATGACAGCGCTGTAGAGAGAGCAAACGCACGTGATCTCCAGTTACTGGTTGGCTCTTGTTTTTGGGATTGTAGGCACTCCAAACATGAACTGCTCATGGCAGCCGAACTTTTGCATCATCTTTTTTACTGTCTTTCGAGATTCACTGTGTGGAAGGCTTATGTTAGGCCAACGAATGTGATGTAAAGATGAGTATGCAACTGCTGGCACTTATTTTGTAGCTGGCGGGCCGCAAACATAATGTAAGTGATTAATAATAATAATAATAATTTTATTTAATGCCAGTTTACAGGCATTGTTAGGGCAACGTTGAACACAAACCGGGCCAGCAGTGGTTGCGCGCAGTCGCAGGCATTCACAATGATTTTCTGCCAGAAGCCCTTGGAATACTTTCAGTTACCTACTAAAAGAAATTCTTTATACCAACCGTCCCTTCGGATGAAAGACAATAACAAGTCATGGCAACCCTATTCAGGATGACACTGTCTGCATTAAGGGGGCCTGGAAAAGGGGGCCTAAGGATTGCTGGGGAACCATTACGTCTGCTGGATGACCGTGGTCGCAGACGCAAGACTCACAACCAATACGAACAAAATCAAAACAACAACAAAAACAACAACAATAATTTATCTCCCTCATTCTGCCTCTTCTTCCTATTTTCTCCTTCTCAATCTTCTCCTCCCCCCTTCCCGCTGCCCCATTCGCCGCCGTCACCAAACTGGCAGGATAAGTCCGCTCACTCTGGCAGCCTGGAATGCTTGTCTATTTTTAGACAACCCCAGGAGCAACCGACCGGAATGGAGGACGGCGCTAGTAGCCAAAGAACTGGCGCGCTACTAGGTGCACATCGCCGCACTCAGCGAGGCCCGATTCTCCGAAATAAGCCAACTTAAAGAGGTGGGTGCCGACTACACCTTCCTCTGGAGCGGTCCCCCTAGGGCAGAACGACGAGACGCGGTGTCACCTTCGCCCTCCGAAAAGCCCTCGTGGGAAGACTGCCCTTTCTGCTGCAGGGCATCAACGATCTCCCGATGAGCCTTTTCCTGCCTCTCCGGGAGGTAAATTCGCCACAATCATGAGCGCCTACGCTCCCCCGATGAGCAGCCCCGACGCCGCAAAAGACAAATTCTGCGAGGATCAGCACGCTCTCTTGACGACTGTGTCGAAAGCGGATAATTTGATTGTCCTTGGTGACTTCAACACCCGCGTCGGCACAGACCATGCTGCCAGGAGAGGAGTGATGGGTCCCCATGGTCTCCGCGGCTCCAAAGAAAGTGGTCTGCTACTTCTCCGCACCTGCGCAGAACACCACCTCATCCTGACGAACATTTCCTTCTGTCTGCCGGAGCGAGAGAAGGCCACCTGGAGGCATCCTCGGTAGCATCAGTGGCACCTGCTGGACTATGTCCTCGTCCGGAGGCGAGATCAGCGGGACGTGCTGGAGACAAAGGCGATCGCGCGCGCTGAAGGGTGGACCGACCATCGCCTCGTCATCTCGAAGATGCGTATTTGCCTAGATTCTTGCAGGAGACCACAAAATAAGCGACCCCAGGGAAGCTGAATATTGCCTTGTTGTCTTCGCCCGCTCACCATCTTCATTTCAGCAATGAGCGAGCTCAATGGCTAGGCAATCTTCCAATTGTTGCCGCCGCCGCCGCTGACGCCGCCGCTGACGCAGGCGCTGTCGAGAACGCCTCCGTGGAGAACCGCTGGTGTCAACTGCAAGACACGGTTTAGTCAACGGCGCTGACCGTATTCGGTCGCGCACGCCGCCTATACGAGGACTGATTCGACGACAACGACACCGCCATCAGCAATCTGTTCATCAAGAAGAACCACATACACAAAGCCTGCGTATACCGCCCCACCGACGAAAACAAAGCCGCTTTCTACCGCAGTCGTCGCCTCGTTCAACAGCGACTGCACGAAATGCAGGACACCTGGACTGCTCGCAAAGCTGAGGAGATCCAAGCGTACACGGATCGCAACGAATGGAAGAACTTCTTCTCCGTCATCAAAGCTGTCTACGGCCCGCCGACCAAAGGCACCGCTCCTCTCCTCAGCTCCGACGGCAATACCCTCTTGACTGAGACGATACAAATTCTACAGCGATGGGCCGAGCATTTCCGCGGCATCCTCAACCGCCCCTCCGCCATCTCCGACGCCGCCATTGTCCGTTTGCCGCAAGTGGAGACCAACTTGGACCTCGAACTCCCACCATCTCTCCAGGAAACCATAAGGACTCAAGGTCAACGCGCGCAGCACGATTTTGATAAGATAAGTAAAAGTTATATTTTGGGATTTAATCTCTTAATCTCTTACAAAGTTTCCAGTGTAGATCTGACAACATTTTCTATATTTTGTCGTAAGTCATCATCGCTTCCCGTCGTGTTTCGACGATTTGTCTTAAAGTAGAAATCAAGTGTCATAGTTTTTTACCCAACATAGCCTCAATCCTATCAAGTCTTACGTGCATATACAAAAGGTTTTCCTCGTAAAAATATAGAATAGCATTATATTTTAAACGACCAACCGTCTCCACTGACCGCTTTTATCGTCGGTGTACTGAGAATTATACTGTTATCTATTTTATACTACATAGCCTCATTATCCAATTCAAATTTATTTATAGTTCTGTTTTGCCATCTACGAAATTGTCATTTACCCGTTATTTTTCAAGTATGCATTCTGTTATTGAGTAAAATTTGCTTACTATAAACTGTGCTGTCTGGTACACCAATATTGACAGCTGTCAGTAATAGTGCCATCATACATATCTTTATCCATATATCTTCGAAGTTTCGGCAGTTATCATCCATATAAATATTTGGGCTTAAGTGTCGTATTGCTTTCTCGACATGAAACCTCAGGCAGCCCTTCGCCGAAGGGAACTAAACTTCATCTGAAACCCATTTTTCATAAAAAAAAATTGATCTAGGGGCGCTTGATGATTTTAACAATTCTATGTCTCATTACAAATCAATTTTTTCTGTTGTTGGTGCCCTTTACGGAAAGTTGCCAACGCTTACGTCTCAGCAGTGTGAGAAGCTCATGCCTCTCATTAACCTGGTTGCTACTGAGACCGAAGACAGGCACAAACGAAGTTTCAACTTTATATTAAAAAACGTTCCTAAGTGTAGACAACCAATCGATGTCGCTTTTCATTTCCTTTATTCATGCGGCTTCAACTTTAGGGTCGCTGAAGCTAAAAGGCCTTCATCTAGGAGCAAGAATCCACCAATTCTTGTCAAACTCTTTTCGTCGATAGAAGTAAATTTTACTTTCTCCCATTTGAAGCGCTCGACTCAATATCTCAGGGGAAATAAACTTTTTATTGGTCGAGATCAAACTCCAGTGCAACGAAGAGTTTCTCCCCCATTAACAAACGTAAAGCCACCCCCGAATTCTTCTCATATGCCTTTTACCTCTAAAGCAGTTTCTCCATCAGCTGTCGACCAAATCCCCCCACTATCTACAGCGGCCCCAGTTCTATCTAGCTGTTCGACTGATCACATTCACACAGAGATGGTTAAAACTAGCCTCCTTAGAACTCCCACACGAATCAAGGATTGTTCAAATGCGGCTTCCAAATTTACAAGGGAACTTGATCTTAACAGTAAAGATGAGCCAGTCCTTGAAGCACAACCGAATCCCAGCACTCAGAATAGCGATTTAGTTAATAAACTCATCGAATCCACCCGTTCCCACGCCTGGCCACTCAGGTCTGACCTCGTGGTTAGGTCAAATAAGCTAGATGATAGTTCAGGGAGATCTTATAGCGGCCTTCCCTCACCCACTAGCCCCTACTTTCCTTCTAGGCTCCCTCCTCCTCACCTTCCTCCACAATTCAACTAACAACAAGTCTATCCATGTTCAAACCCCCTAGAATCCCAATGTTTGAAAACTATATTCACACATCCTTTAGGTCTCATACTCAGCCTTCTCTTGTTGATTCCCCGTACGTCAATAACTCTGGACTAACTGCTACTTATTCTCAAAGTGTCATTTATTCACAGCTTACATATCCGACTCCAAATTTTTTAAAATACCGTCGAAGATAGCATTGCCGTTCGAAAAACATTAGATATTATATTATTGAATGCCCGTTCAGTTAAAAACAAGATGGCCCAAAGCAGAGCCATTGCTCTGGAAATGACGCCTGATATTATATCTGTAATAGAATCTTGGACCCATTCTCTAATTCCTGACTCTGCCCTTCTCATAGATGACTTCGATTTTTACCGCCAAGACCGCACGACTAGGCGTGGGGGTGGCTGTCTTCTTTATCTTAAATCCTACCTAAAGAACTCTCCCTATTACTTGGATGATTTCTCATTCACAGGAAACTTCTGCATTGCATCTGTTATTCTCTCACCACAAAGAAAGGCAATTACGGGCTGTATCTACAATCCTCCAAATTCTTTAGCCAGTGATGATTTACAACTCTGTGAAATCTTTAAATTAATTTCGGAAGCTGCTTTCGATGCTAAAATAATCACTGCAGATTTTAACCTTCCTGAAATAGACTGGGTTTCCAAAAGCTGTCCACCCAGATTCCAGCCCTACCAAGATATTGTCAATTTTACTAAATGGTCCCAAGTGGTGCCCTCTCCAACAAGAGATAATCACATTTAAGATCTAATCTTCACCAAGGACATTGGTCCTCTTTCTGTTGCTATAAAAAAGGACCTCTTTGACAGTGACCACGTATTAATTCATTGTTGCTTACCGCTTGCCTTTTAAAAAAAGTCCAGCGTCCTCCGGACTTACATGAACTACGACTGCGTAGATAGCGACTTAATAAATAACTATATTAGATTTTTGGATTGGTGTGGCTTCCTTACTTGTCGCGATGCAACCATTCTTCGCGATGTCATGTCCAATGCTTCCAAGGACATTCGGGAGTTTGTGCAGCGTAGATATTTCAAGCCTAATTCTTTAGATTCCCATGTTCCTCATTATCTTCACAACAGACTAAAAAAGGTTAAGACGGCAGTTGCGTGACCCATCCACTAGTTCCTTATCATGAAGAAGGAGACACGACCGCAGGGACAAGAGATTTATTAGCCAGACGTTTCCGATTCCTACTCGAATCCATCATCAGAGACAAAAAAGCAGAAACGGGTGGTTGTTGCACAAGGGGCTGCGGTATTTATAGGATGCAATCGCCATGCTACCGCATACCTAGGAACATTCGCGGTTCCCCCCTTCATCCGAGATCGTCGCACTTGGTGTGATCATTGCTTGATGGCCGACATTCGAGTCGATATTTGCTGCAATTTCATCACCTGCGTTGGATGTTGGCGTGATGATTGCTCGACCATCTGACGTCTCGACCCCGGTGGTCGGAAAAGTGTTCACCTCTGCGCTCCCCACATGGCTTGTTACCCCGCCTAAACGAAGTTTCAGTACGGAGTATCAGTGCATCTTAACATCACAGAGATTTTTGAGATGGCCTCAAGGATGCGTCAAGCGCGACAGGAAAAGAGATTAAATAGCTCTCAGTGGTTCGAACCCTGCCAAATCCGTCGCTAACATGTTCCGTCATCCGTCCTCCTCTGAGCGTGGTCACGAACTTCGACCCATGCTAAATGATAACAAAGTCTTCCTCACCGATGACACTGACAAGGCGGAGTTGTTTAGTGCCTTCTTTGCAAAACACCTTGCTACCGAATCCGATCCGGTCCCTTTCTTTCGATCACTTTCAGATAGGACACTTAGTACAATTGATGTCTCCTCAGATCTCATTAAGAAACACATAAGCCGTTTAATATACTCACACTGCTCAGGAACGGAAGGGATTCCGAATTCGATTATTAAACAAGCGTCCGACCTTCCCATATTGCTCAGTCATTAATTCTCTGTTTATATTTCAAAAGGATTCTTTCCTGAAACATGGAAAATGTCAAGTATCATTCCCGTTTTCAAGTCAGGATCTCGGGCCGATGTTAATAACTATCGGGGCATGCACAAAACGCCGTCTCTAGCAAAGCTTCTTGAAAGGGTTATTTTCAATGAAATTCTTGACTTCTGTCTAGCTAATCGGCTTCTGAGCTCTAGTTAGCATGGATTTTTACCTGAACGATCCTGCGAAACATGTCACTTGGCATTTCTTAATCTACTCACTTCTCTTCTTAATGAGCGGCAGTCAGTGGTAGTTATTTACTTTGATCATAGCAAAGCCTTTGACAAGGTGCCCCATAGACGTCTTTTAGTTAAGTTGGAAGCTCTCGGCATCCGGCCGCCTCTACTCGACTTCATCAGGTCCTATCTGTCCAACCGATATCAGAATGTCATGGTCGGGAATAGCTACTCGACACCTCACTCGATCACAAGTGACGTACTTCAAGGCACGGTCCTGGGTCCGCTAATCTTCCTTCTGTACCTCAATGATATTTCGACTGAACTCGGGAATTCGCAAACTTTTACTTATGCCGATGACCTCAAGTGTGTTTACTCATACTCTAAGGACACCACAACCGTTTGTGTTGAAAAAATTAATGCCGATTTACTACGCTTAAGCAGATGGGGTTCGACATGGCAGATGGAGTTTTCATCATCCAAGTGAAGTTTCATGTCTTTTGGTCCTACCAAAATTCCTAGTGTCATAATTTTTCATTAATGATTTTCAAATGTTTGTTCTTCCAGTCCTCGAATACTGTTGTCCTTTCTTCGGTTTAATGAACGCCTGCAACCGTAATAAAATCGAAAATGTTCAGAGGGTTTTCACCCGGAAACTGTTCTCTCAAGCTTCGTCCAGTATTTCTTATAATGAGAGATGTCAGCTATCGAACATTAAGTTTTTGTGGGTTAGAAGACACGAAGCTGGCCTTTGCTTCCTTTTTCGCATCAACTCTAGCTCAAACCATCCGCTCATTGGCAGTCTCACTGCGAGAGATCCGTCTTATGCTACACGCAACTCCTGCATGGTGATTCCGCCGCTCCTTGTACTACATCGAAGCGCTCTCTCTTCTTTGATTCCAAATGTGCCTTCCTTTGGAATAATCCTCCGCCTGAAATTAGATTATCGCCTAAGTTATTGGTATTCAAGTCGAAATTACGCAAACATCTTACATCAGAAAGCATAAAGGCACTGTTAACAGTCTCATTTCCGAACACTCAGATTCCTGACTTCGAGAAGGGTCCTCCTGGGATTTAGTGGTAGATTAAGTGGTAACTCTTAATTATATCATTAGAAACCCCTGTTTTTTAATTTGGTTTCTAAATCCATTGCAATCCTTCCCCCCATAGCGACAATTTTCGCGGTTTTTGATGTCATCTCCCGCATTCCGACCTCATGCGGTCTGTCGACACTCACGGCGGAACCCTCAGTATTCACTGCCTACTGGTAGTTCGGTCGTACCTCCCTTCCTCACTGCTCGGCTGAGCTCGAAGCGTGCTGTGGCCGATCGCATCTGGGTTCCTCTCGTCTGGCCTCTTTGACGCGGCGTATCAATCCGGCCCAAACGATGTCAATTGTGAATCCCGTATACAACGTCACATGCAAGCCAGTCCTGCCTGACCCGAATACGTACACCTCAAGGCTGAGATTTATTGCTATCCTGACGATGACCGACAACATTCCGTTATATACCGCCACCTACAGGCCAGTCCTGCTCGCTTTTTTCCGTCATTATTTTTATTGGGGTTTTTTTTCTGCTGTAAAATCAACCCAATAATTTTTAACTTTTCGTTTGGAGTTTTTTTTCACTCCTCACTTATCATGTTTCTCAATGGACTTTTAGTTCTGAAACTATGAATTGGATTTTGTAAAGATTCAGCCTACCTCGTCTAAAATTCGCATTAAAAAATTAATTTTAACTTGCTTTGATGGGACCCCGACGGGTCTTTAATAAAATTTATCTATCTATCTGACCGTGCAACAACGCTCCAGGGGGAAAGCACCCGGAGCGGACGCGATCCCTGCTGATTTATGCAGTCATTATAGTCCCCAACTCTTAGATCATTTGACTGCCCTCTTCCAGGAGATGTGGCGTTAAGGTGGACTCTCGCAAGATTTCAAAGACAGAACAAACGTGTATCTATAGAAGCGAAAAGAGAACCGCCAAGTCTGCGACAATCACCGCGGCATCTCCTTGCTGAACATCGCCGGAAACTTCCTCGCTCGCATCCTCCTCAAACGCCTGAATAATCGTCTAGAAGAGGGCCTCCTACTGGAAAACCATTGGGGCCTCCGCCTTCATCGTGAGACCACGGATATGATCTTCGCCGCCCGTCAACTTCAGTAGAAGTGCCAGGAGATTTGGACCCACCTGTACTCTACATTCGTGGACCTGAAGAAAGCCTGCGCACGGTGAATCGTGAA